CAGCAGGAGAATTCAGCAGGGAGATTTCAGAAGCCCTCATTTAGAATTTTTCCATGCCCTTCTAAAACAAAGACCAAAACCTGAAACAATGCTGATGCCTGCAGACAATTCATAATGAAGATGGAGCAGCGTGATTTCTAGCTTCTCATCTGCCTCTGCCAGCTCAGAGAGCAGAGATTTTCAAGGGGGAGGCAGGAAGAAAACTGCTCTTGTGACCTCCAGGAAGAGATGGCTGACCCCACTCAGCTGCAGGTTCCTGGATGGTAGAATTTATATTGCTGCAAGGACTGCACAAAGAAAGAAAGAAGAAAGAAAAGGCCCAGTCTCTGCATTCCCATCACTGACTGAGACGAACAGGAAGGAAACATCATCCAGTTTCTTTCTACCACTGACCTGGTGCTGTTCAGGATTGCAAGGACCTGGTACTTCAGGTTTTTTACAAACCGAGCTGACACAGAACAGCAATGCCAGCAGGGTAAGAATTAAACTCACTGTCATTGCCCAAGGACCAGAGGAGATCTCCGGCTCAATGCAGCTGGAGGATGTGATCCCTCAGATATTTATGATGTATCCATGAATTCAGCCATCCCTGACATACTTTTTTTCCTCAAGAACTTAAGTACCGTGTGGTATCAGGAGGTTTGGGATAGGTGCTGCACCTAAAAGGAATGTGAAGAACATTGTCCAGGGAGATGCCAGGAGAGTCCTGGGCTGCCAGTGTCTTCAGAAATAATGGTTTTTTCTCTGGGGCTGAGGAGGAAAGTCATCTGTCTCTGTTAACTTCAAAAGATGAGAGTATCCTTTCTCAGCATTAGCCTTTTATCAGATTTCTTGCAGAGTGTCAGACTGGGATACCATCAGGTCAATTGGGAAGTCTCCATTCATGGTAAAATATGGAGAAAAAACAACCAAGGGAGTCTTGTGCCCTTGTCTGCAAGGAGAAGCTCAATTACTCCAGTCGGGAACTCCCAGCCTCAGCAACACTCCTCTGCTTATTTTGAAATTTGCAAGTTGTACCTCTTAAGTGTGCTGGGTTCCCCATACATTAACCTCTGCTTATTTTGAAATTTGCAAGTTGTGCCTCTTAAGTGTGCTGGGCTCCCCATACATTAGCTAGGAAAGCACAGAAACAAATGAGGTGCAGCAGGCTTGGTAAATAAATGGATGAAGTGCCAATAGGAAAGAAATGGATGACTGAAGAGTTCAGAACGTATTTCCACACCAGCGGCTGTGATCTGCTCTCTTGGAACTTGGAGCCTCGCTGCGGCTGAGATGTGCCACAGTTGGCTTCTGCATGTACATGGTCTGGCTCTTCAAATGATATGGAAAACGACACATTTGAGGCCAAATTGTGCTGGCAACTAGTCAAGGATGGGACGAGCCCTCTCTGGCAACACTTTCCTACATTTCTTACCCAAATGGGCAGCTTAAGCAAGAACAGGCAAAGCTCAAATTCAAAAATAAGAGGCAACAGGAGGAGGTCCAAGGCTGTTTTTTTCCCCATCCTGTAGCTATCAGAAGGAATGCTCTAGTACAGGCCTGAGTGGTCTGAGTCTGAGTTTAGCCAACGCTGTTCAGCACACAGCCCCTGATGTGAGATATGCCATCGCAGGAAACCATGCCTGCGATACGAGGACCAAAGTCATGGTGCCAGGAGAGAAGCTCCTGGATGAAGTCCTTGGTTCAGTCCCAGCAGTGATATCATCGGCTGGGTGGGAGAGGCTCCTTCCAGGTGCCCCCTGGGCAGGGACTGCAGAAGGAAGCGTCCAGCCACGCCATCCCGAGACAGCACAGAGGCCAAGTTGGAGACAGAAACAAGCGGCTGGGGCTTGTGCGTTTCGACTGAAAGCAGAAAGAAAAAGGCAACGCAGGACTGGGCAAGCAGAGCTGCCAGGCCAACCTCCGCCTCTCTCAGGAGCTTGTGTTCACTTGGACTTACAGTGTCAGCCATTCAAAGGGAAGCGAAGAGGTGAAGTGCAGTCAGAGGGCAGCAGACCCCGAGGAGATCCCCACTAGAGACAGACTGGAGGAAAAAAGAAGGAAGTAGAGCTATCTCCTATCTGGCATCCTATCTGATACTGGCGATAGAGGAATGGAGAAGAATGACGGCATTAAAACCGAGATCAAATCCTCCGAAGTTCAGTCAATCTGCCAAGAAAAGCTGTCCTCCATAGCAGCAGCAGAAGACAGAAACAAACAAGAGATGTGATCTCAGTAGGACTTTTTTTGGATCTTAAAGAGCCTTCCTCTTCCTCTCTCTTGCTTTCATCAGCTCCCGTGAAGAAGATTCACACCAGCTGTCTAGACAATGGGGACAGGTCTGCACACAGAAGGAAGTGACAACGAACAGGAGGCCTCAAATCACAAACTGCAACATTGACCAAAACCTTACGATTGACCCAGTCAACCCCAATTCCTCAAGCAAAAAAACTCTCTTCGGAAGGTTTCACAAAGACGGAGTTCACAGATTCCATGCAGCGTATTTCTTGCCTATGTATATCCTGTATCTTCCTAAGTAAACTTTCATATATGAAGCAGATTAAATCACTTTTAAGTTATATTTGCTTTCCTGTCCCTGTTAAGTGTTAAAAGTCATGATACTCAGAGGAAGAACCGAAGTGTCATTATTTTTGAGGCTCAGTAAGGCATGTTATACATCACAGAAGCTTATATTTCCCCAACACACAGGAATATGAGTCTATATTTGATTAACATAAAAAGACCCTTACCAGAAAGTGAGTAATCTGTATTAGTCATCCTCATGGCTGGAGTGTAAGATACACTTGGCATGTCATGGCCCTTCTCCTTCTGTTTCCGTCGATACCACACAAACAGTGCCAGCAAGACCATAATAATTAGAAGAAGAAGAATAATTCCAATGATTGCTCCCACTGAGTGCCTCTCTGATCCAAGAGCAGGGCTAATTTTAGTATAGGGGTTTAATTCTTCCATCATAAGAGCCGCTGTTAAAAGTAATTCATAACACACTGTAAATTGAATCATGTATTTCATTTTGGAAACACTATTTTTTTTAAAGCAAGTACATCATTGGAAGGGGAGAGAGAGAAAGAGAGAGATTTTCCAGACAGAGTTTCACTGTACCTTGATCACATCGGATTCCTTTGAAGCCTGGACTGCAGTAGCAAGTGCCCGTGACATGGTCACACGTAGCATTATTCATGCATTCACACAGCTGTTTGCATCCGTAACCAAATGTTCCTGGTGAGCACTCTGGGGAGCCAAAGAAAGAGATTGGAAAGAATTCTACTTTTTTTTCAGGAAGGAATGAAATGCTTGCCATGGACCATTCAGTGGGAAAGTCTCCCTGGTTTCAGTGTCTGTCGGATAACACCCTAGTGTTACATTATGATTTTAAATCAGGAGGAGATAAATGTTCTTCATGTACAGTTTAGGGTATTACTTATTAAGCTGTAACTTTCTGGAAAAGTCATACAAGACTTCACAAGGATGAAACTAATAACACGAACGAAGACTTTAAAAGGTTCTATATAACACTGTCCAGAATTTAGCAGGGTGTGAGTGCAGAAGCTGTAGACAACATCCTGAAAGAGCAGAGCATTCTCCACCAACTCTCCATATTTTTTTTAGTGGGGGTAGTTGCAAAGAAAAGTTTTAATGTACCTTTATATGAACACATAGACTTTTACCAAACAAATCCCGCATGCTTTCATACGTATCCCTACTAGCGCTAGAAGATTTCTATAACATTGTAGGTGGAATTACAGAAGTGAGCATTGGAATGGGTTGATTTGCTGTGCTGCTGTATTAGGATTCCTCATACAGAAGGAATTTCTATCCTGTCTTTGTACTTCTATCAAAGACACAATGATTGAATGTCCAGCTGAGAAATGTATTCATACAATTACCATGACAGGCCATTACAATAAACCTGGAGGGAGCTTACTGTACTTCTCGAGGCACTATTCAATAATAAATTGAAAGAAACAACCTCTGTTAAATCTTACTTAATTCTACGGAGAAGACACATTATTGAATGCATGCGCATTTGCTATGATTCTTCACAATATATATTCTTTGCTTTAAGATGTGACTTCTCGTGTGTCACTGCACATGTTTTTGCATAGCATGACGATACCTTCCCACTGTCAGTCTCTAAGTAACTTCTAGCAGCCAAAATTTAATATTAAATAACGAACAGTAGCTGGTATCTGTATAATGATTTGCAGTGTGTATTAGAGTTGTATCTCCTTCTTTCATCTGCAGGTCCCCGAACAAGGGAAAATACAATTATTACAATTAATGCACATTCTGATATTAGCCTGTAGCCTATTTAAAAAGAAGAAGTCCTAAATTTTTGGACTGCACCACAGAAACCGTGTCTGCATTTAGGCGCTTCATCCGCAATGCGGTGTGACTGCCCATCCCGCAGGATTCTGAGAAGAAAGGAGTCTTGATGAAGAGATACTTTTAGATTAAATAGTAGAAAAACAAATAAACAAATCCTTTCATAGTTTGGATAGAAAAGGAAGCCTCAGGCTTTGTACAGAGGTATAAAAGGGGCTATGATGCAGTTCTACTGGGGAAATTTTTCCTTCCCTGTTTTATCAGTGGTTGCAGTCTGGGTGCGCACCAACTCACAGTATGTTGGCCACTTCCAGAGTTACAGTGGTGCCACATGCAATCCCCACATGAGCATCTAAACTTGGTCCTGAGATACATTGCTGAGTGTGTGTGCAAAAAGAAAAGATGTTCATGAATTTAGTGATATGTACAAATACTTTCATAAGGATCCATGCAGTAAGCTTCAGTTCAGAAGCTCTGAGGCAGGCATCAGGAATGGCACTGTGGTACCTTACTGCCAAAAAAAGGAAAGAAAAACTGTGGAATTAATGCCTTGGTAAGGTGAAATGGATTGCACTCTGCCTTTAGAATCCAAGTAAGTCTGCGAGAATTTTCTTTTGATTTACTATACTGGACAAACAAGTAATTATTTCACTCCAGTCCATACTTTGTTCTTCAAAGAAGCCATTTGGCACCGAGTGCTTAATATGCCAGCAAGACATTGAGAACAATTACGGTAAGACACGCCAGTGCCCTTGCAAGGTAACTGAAGTTCATTGTTAAACACCTGCTCACTACTCCAGTTAAACACGGATCCTTCCAAAAATGGCATGAAACTGCTTCTTTTTTTCCCCCCCTTGATCTGTTTTCATTGTAAAGATGAATCTTTATTTGGCCCACATCTATAGCATAACAACTTATGCAAGAAAACCCCAGTACTCCTACAAAGGCAGAGAGCAGAAAGGACTTCTTTTAACTTTTCTGACTTCCTTTGAACCCAGTGCTGCTCTCAACAACGTTAGCAAGGATGCTGCAGCTTGTGTGTTTCTATTAATTAGGTCCAAGTTGTGCGGGAAGGCTACATCCCGTCAGCACTGAGTGCAGTGACTTGCTTTTATCTCACCTAACATTAGGCTGGGAATGGAAAGGTCTAATTTCCAGTGGATTCACTATATTTCTTTATGCTTAAACAGACCATCCGGCTTTCCAGAGATGCTGCCTGCTCCCTATGGATTCTAGAAGGTGCCTGGGGTTACTGTCTTCCTGACATCTACACCTCATTTAAGAGCTTATTTCTGCAAAGAATTCTGAAATACACCCCCTACCCTGGAGAAACAGAAAAATGAAGTCATGTTGCTACTTACTTTGCTCACACTGTTTGCCCGTAAATCCAGTCCTGCATGTGCACTGGCCGGTGACGTGGTCGCAGTCCGCCCCGTTCTGACACTGACAAACGTTGGCACAGTTTTTCCCATAAAAAGCAGCTGGGCAACCTTTCAGGAATCAGAACAAGGAAAGACTTCAGAAATAAGCTGCAACACCAACTCAGCTGTGTTATCAGCACAAAATATGTAGGTCTATAAATCTATGGATTTTCAGCCTCTGTACATTTAATAACATTTATTTGATCATCTAAATGCAGAGATACTCCAACAGCCAATTTTCTTGAAGTAGTGTTTCTCATATCTTACAGAATTGCCTCTTAAGTGTTTCAGAAGAAGGAAAACTTGACCCATCTACACAAACTACATTTTCAAGAAGTGAAAGAAGACAGCTAAACAGAAACTCTCCAAAAGGCCAGAGATCAATCAATTACTTGCAAGTGAAAGAGCCTTCTTAAAAGCCTCACCAGAATCTGATCTCCTCTTTTGTACCATGCTGATAGTTCGGCACTAGCAGGATGCGAAATCTCAAAACATTTTCCTAAATCAGACCACAGGCACTGAGACTTTAACAAGTGGGGACAAAGACTGTGCAAATTCTGACAATGAATCAAAGATCTGAATGGTTGGTCCCTCCTTTATCGAGTGCCAAAGGCACAAAAACCTCATTGAAAAGCTTCAGGACTATTCTTTAGGGGATGATGTGAAGTTATCACAAGCAAGAAGCAGGTGGTTTAACAGAGCAGACTGCAATACTTGGAAGAGACACGAGGTAGCAGCACAACTTTGCCAGATTCCCTGGCAGAAGCGGGCAAGGCTTACGCTGGGTGCAGTAGAGCCCGGTCCAACCATGAGTGCATCGACATTCTCCATCGTAGGGGCTGCACATCGCTCCGTTGTGGCAGTTGCATGAATGAAAGCAATCAGGGCCCCAAAAACCATTGGGACAAGCTAGGAAAATAATAAAAAAAAATTATCAGCCAGCAAAAAAGCAACGATACTGCATTCGTAATAAAGGAACAACAATAAGGGAACCTGTGAGCCACCAGCAAAGGCAGAACTTCGCATTGCAGAGCTTGGCACCGCTCCCTGACAAGGACCGGTTCCTCCAAGCCAACGGTTGCTTTGCAAACCCAGGGGCCAACCTGCAGCCTCCCCCCTGCTGCTGAGCCCTGGCACAAGGGATTTTTTCCCGGCGTAGGTCGGGTGGCCGGACCATGTGCAGGAGAAGCACGGAACCAGCGCCCCTCGACACCGCATTACTCCGGGTGCTCCGGCCACTCTTCCCTGCACTACCAGCATTAGCTGTGAAGACAATTTAGACAGCAGCGTTTTAAGATGGGGAGGTAATTTAATTTTCTTTTTGATATTCTGGAATTCTTGCATCATAAAGCAGAGCTATTCACGGTTTACTTTTGCTATGCAATCAACTGCTAAAATTACTACATTCATTTGAAGCACAGAGTGCTGCTCAAATTACGTAAAAAAGTAAAGAAAACTTCCTACGGTATGAATTCCCATCCACAAAATCAAATTGCTTTTGTTGATGGGGCTAATATTAAATTAAAATCTCCAGGTCTATTATAGATTTCAACAAGTACAATATTAACACATTTTCAAAAGTTATTTTAAGCCTCCCTCCAAAAAATGAATGCAGTTAGTTACAGTTATTAGCGCCAGACTAAAAGATCCAAAATGATGATAACCCTTCAATATAACAACTGTATTTTTGCTTTAAAAAGCACTTTCCATTGCTTCCTATTAAAGCCACGAATTAATAAGGCATGGTTCCCAGGAAACCTGAAAGTACAGAAACCGTGCCTGTTTCCACGTACGCCATTGGCTCCAATTCTGACGATCAATGGAAGTTTCTGGCATATGACAGACATCTCTAAAGCCAGAATGAATAGCAAAAAAACCCTCTGCCATGACGTCAATCAAACAAAAGGTCACTGAACCCACACAATGTAAAGCTGAACAGGATTTGGCCTGAAAGTATTCGTGCTGTAAGCAACCAGAAATACTTTTCCAACGCCTTTGTAAGGCAGAGCTGCAGGGGCTGTTAGTGTCTCCAGAACTGGCTCTGGGGTTGGAGCTAAAATTATCTCCGGCTCCTGGTCATCCCAGGTTAACCGGTGCGGAGGCAGGTCGGCGCAGAATAGCTCAGTCCTGGACCCGGGATGCGAGGCCAGGTTCCCACAGGAGCCTGGTGCGAGGCCAGGGCCACGCTGGGGGATTTACACTTTTTTAACAAGAAGGCGACTAAGGAAACTGTCAGGTTCCCGCTTGGTTCATCCCAAATACAAAGTCGCTGTCGCCAGGTCTTCCTGCCTGCTAAACTGGAAATGGTTGCTGCTGAGCTGGCCTGCCTCACTCTGTAAGAAAAACCATCTTTTCCCAAGGTTAACAGAAACTAACAGTCATTCCCCAATTACATGGCTAAATATAATGAGGAAGCTGTGGAGCTTTCTGTCTTTTTTTTTCTTTTTTTTTTCCTTCTATTTTTGACTGACAGCAATATTCTGCCTGTAGAAGACACACAATAAAAGCAAAATTACAGCCGTCTGTTTTTATCCGATTCCTACTTTATCACTTGAAGTTTAATATATTTTACTCTGGAATGCTGTCTAATATGCGAGTTGTATCCTGAATATGAAGTAACATTTCTGAATGATAGGATATTGCTTCCCTCTGTGATCTATCTTCAATTAAGGGATGCTCTCAGGAAATGACACTTTGGGATCACCAAATGCCAATCTTCTACCTGGGCAATTTTCAAGAAGAAATCCTCCATCCCTCCAAGCCCACATTGACTTTTACAATTAAATTACATTGAATAGAAATATTTCAGCTACCTAATTTCTCAATTCTAGAGGCTTGCTACATGAAAACATTTACTGGTTAATAATTTCTATCTGAAAGAAAATGATTTCAAAAAATAAATAAAAGGGAATCCAGCTAGAAATTAAAAGGGAGCATGGAGCTTTCTTTTCTGATAAGAGCTTGTGACCTCCCTTTCCTATAACAGAAGCTAGTAACAGCTTCTGCAAATTCCAAATGCAGAAACTAATTCAAGCCAGAGCTAACTTCGATTAATTAAAAGAAATAAACTATAAAGAGAGTAAGGCACTGGCTGCTGTAATACTTCAGGGATTTCCCCAGGATCTGTCTTTAACTTTCAGAAAACACTAAAGAGGAAAATGCGGTTTTTCAAAGCGGAGGTGGAAAAACAACACTTTGCTTACTCTGCGAGCAGTCCATCCCTATCCAGCCGGGAAAACACTGGCACGATCCGTCGATAGGATTGCACGTCCCATTCTCGGTGCACTGGCAGACCTCGGCACAGTTCTTCCCGTATCTTCCACTGGGACAGACTGTGAAAATATAAAGCAGTTTACTGAAGGCTCTTCATAATGAACATGAGGACGTCATAGGACTTAACATTTAACAATTGGAGAGAAAAGTAATCACAACATTTTTCTTTGCTGAAGCCAAATAGGCAAAATTCTTCTGGAAAGAAGGAAAAGGCAGAAATTTTGTTTGTTTACATCCCAGGCATAAAAACAACAGGGAAAAATAATTTCAAAATTTTTCTGCTGGAAAAGAAATCTATTTAATAGAGTTAGAAGATTACAATTATTGAAGGGCATTATGGAAGGATGAAAAGAGAAGAGACAAAACAGAGAAGAGGGGTTGTTGGGAGAGGAAGAGAACAATAAAGTTGGGGAGAATTCAAAGAGTAGCAGCAAACACAAGTGGGTGGCTGGATGGGATTGATCTGGGGACTTGGCCAAGGGGGTCCCTTGGTGAAACCCCCGAAACAGGGCTCTGTGCTGGCTCAGAGGATTACAGCCTCAACAATAAGAACAACAGAAGTAGGAAAAGAACATTTTAGGCTAAATATCAGCTCAGTGAAGAAGTCTCAAGAAGATGAAGAGCAATGGGAACTCTTACTTTCAGGTCTGTCACTAGAACCCAACTCCCTTGTGTTGTACGACTCATAACGACAGTGATGATGGACCAAAAGCTGCAACCCGTACCACCGGGTGTGACGGCCTGACACACCGGCCATGGGCATTGTACTGGGAGGCCAGTGCCCATTAAATGGTTGGTGGCAGATAAGCTTGCATGGAGAGACTGAAAGAGCTGTAGTCCTTCTCCTGCTGTCCCGGTAGCACCACAAACTGCACCGTGCACTGTGCGGTGCTGCAATATTGGGCACGCTAGAGCACCCACCTCCTCACTGTGCTCATTCCTCCCGGATCAAGTATGGTGAGAGAGGAACGTGCCTGTGCTACTACATACTGTAGGATTTGCTGAAGATGAACTTTCAGCAATGTTGGTGGGAGGCAGGCTCCCAGCATCTCACAGAATCAAACCATGCAAGCAGCGAGTAAACCAGGAGTAAGAGTGCCACTTCCATAAGTATTTATACCATATAAGTCTGGCAGAAGGCTACTCCCCCAAATAAAGCACAAATCCAATTGCTGAAGTGTCACGCTTGTCTTTTGGCATCCGTCCATCTATTCCTCTCCAGCACGCCTTGCTGTGGTAAGTGTTCGATTAAGTTGCAAATCGTAGTTTCCGTGCATTATATATGTTTGACTGAGAGTTGTTAAACGGATGTGCTGCATCCTACAAAATCAGGGTCTAGTCCTGTTGCTCCACCTACCTTACTCGTGAAGTTGGAAGAAAAAAAAAACTCTATAATTTTTTCTCAGAGTCATTTTATAACAGCCTAAGCACAGTGACATAAAACTAATAGACACGTAGATCTTCAACCTGCCACCAAATTATTGGAAATCTTTAACGTTAAAGTTGATGGAAAGCTCTGCTCAGTAATGAATGAAATGTTTAATTTCTGTGCTCTTATTGGCTGTGTTCCCCGACAGAAACAGATGTATTTTCAAAACAAGATAAAACATCCAGTCCATCTTTGCAAAGGATGTAACAAATGGAACTGGACTTGTATCCTGGTAAATGATAGTGATGTCAAAAAATGTGATTAAGGAGCTTCCCTGAATTATGCAACTGTTTTACCGCTTCGGCCACTCTCACTTTCTCGTATGTGGTCACTGCAGGTGACCACAATCTATCCTGACTGTGAGTCAGCCATGGATTGAAGTCCTGGGCTGTGATTCATTTACATCTATAGAATATGCCATCCTCTACTCGTACCTAGGCATGTGCATACTATTGTCTTCTCCATACATTTCTATATACCCTACAGACTTATCTGTAGGAGTGGATAAAGTTGGTTTCAAATTATGTGCTAAACAGAACAGTTCTCTAACGGAAAAGAGATAAAACTAAACACAATATAGAGACACAATGAAAAGAACAATACAGACACAACGAGAGAGACAGGAAGAAAAGCCCTCATATCAGAGAAAGAGCAAAAACTCAAATGATCTATCAGCCTAGGTTTTCATAGATGCTGCACCACTATTCAGTTCCAATGGTCTATTTAGAGCAGTTCGATGGAATATTTTTATTGCATCTTTAAGATGGAGATAGATAACCACTTAAATGAAGGCTGGATTTTTTTATGTGTACAAAAAAATAGTTCTCAAAAGACTTAGTTAAAATAGGAGCTGATTTACACTGCAACATGGAATACTAATGCATCGGGAAAAGATTTGTGATCCAAACACGGATGCTGACAAAGGCAGCAGGTCATAGAAGAGATGCTTCAGCTCCACACCGTGAGAGCTAGCAGAGGAGTTCCCACTGCGTGAGCTCCTCCTGTCTCAGTGACAGTGTGGTGCCCTCCAGAAGGACTGCAGAGCCCATCCTGCCCAGATGGCTGTTCTCAGTCACTTGAGTGCCCTGGTTGTGGACTGACACAGCGACTCTCCTGTAAAGCTGTGAGATCCAAACACACACTTTTTCAAACGTCTCCAAGGTTTTTGAACAAAGCTGTAAAATAAGGACTAATGCGGCTTTCTTCAGGAGCAATCTGGCTGTACGGTGCGGATAGTGATGTTAATTAGCTATAAAAGCTCTGAAGTGGGACTCCCAGCGTCCCTGTGGGATGTCAGGTGTGTTCTAGCAGCGATAACAAGTTATTAACAACCCATCTTGCTCCATGATTGTGAAAGATGTTCATAAACCAGCTGCTTAGCTGTTTGCTGCTCAGAATCCTCAGCACAACCATGTCAACCTGTGCAATTTCGGAGGTTACACAGGTCCTCACACACACGTGCTGCCGATGGAAGAACATTCCCACTGCCGGAAAAGAGATGGCACAAGGAGATGAAAATTCCGAAATGAAATCTTCATTTCCCATTTTTCTAATGGAAAACATTAATTAGCATTTTTCTTTCTACAAACTAAAGTTACATGCTAACTCATTATGACAAACTGCAACACAAATTGATTTTAATTAGGACATGAATATTTTAAAATTAATTTGCTGGATAGATCAACATTTCAAAGTAAAACCAGAAGTGCTGAACATCTGAGCAAAAATAAAATAGTTTTCTTAAGAGGATAATTAGCCCTGCTTACGCTTTGAAATCTGGCTAACTTTTCACATAAAATGGACAAATTCACTGAAATATGTTCATTTTAATAAATTAATTGGTATAATGTTTAGCTGACTATACAGCACAGGAAAAAGAAAACATGGTTATACTTAATCAATGTTTAATTATTTTGCGTAAATGCTGTCTCCCATTTCTAACTTCCTGAAAAGCAGGTCATTAAAAAGTGCCAGTTCAATTTTTACAGGATGGTGACTTCCCAAGGGCAGCAGCCATTACGAATAACCTCTGTTAAGTCCGTCTGTAGAAAATACCCGCAGTAACATGCAAAAACTGAGACTCTGCAGAATGCTGTGATGATTTTGCCGGCATTTTAAAGATAAAACTGAAAACTAAACCTATGGTTAGAAGGGGACTAACTTGCCAAGGCGTAGAAAGGTGATGGTCATTGGGGGAGTTGAAGGTGCTCTTCACCTGTGAAAATTAACTCACTTTTTCTGCCTCATTGAAAATTTTTCTGTCTCCTGGACTTGGGTTTGGGTGTGCACGGTTTTAGGCATTCCCAGTCATGTCCTAGAGAGTGTAAATAAGTTTCCATACATTAACTGGGTGTTTGGGCTTGTGTGCCTGAGCTGGCCTGTACCTTCACTAGTATCTACACCTCCCGCTGAAAAGGTGCAGGAAGATTTCCAGCTGGAACATTTAGGGCATAGTAGGCTTAGCAGAAAGGAAAATGCAACCCCTGAACGGCTGATATATTTCCAGCAGGTGTCTCAGTCCACATTCATCCCAAGGCAGAGCAGCAGCCCTGTTTTATTTATGAAAACAGGAGCACAGCGTATTTACAAAAGGGTGACAGTACTGTTTGCATTTTACCTCTGAAGTAAGGAATTTCTTGTGATCTAAAGCGCTGAAACAAGGAAAAAAGAAAAAGGCAGGAACCTTGTGATCAGTCTTGCTGCAAAGTCACAGACACAGAGAATTAGGAAAGGAAAGGAGGTGGCACCTGGGGGTCCTGGGCTCCGTACCTTGGTTGCAGAGAGCGCCGAAGAATCCAGGCAAGCAATCGCAGTGTCCTGACACGTGGTGACACGGGCCGCTGCTGTGCACGCACTGAGGGCACGGCTGGCTGCAGTGGTGGCCATAAAAACCAGGGGGACAAACTGAAGACAAAACAAAAGAACCTGTCACAGGTTGTCACAAGATTTCTCGTTGCTGAGAGCTTTAGAATTCTCTCTCTGTCTTAACCCCCAAACAAAATTTCTTAATTTATAAAAACCCAATTTTGTGAAGAGCTGAAATGATGAAGCCTTTTGGATTATTCCACGTCTAACAAAGTGTAAACTCTGAGTAAAATTACTCCTGTGGTTCAAACATCCACGCCATCCTACCTCCTGTAAGTCCCTGGCTATTTAACGGTACAGCGGAGCTCTCGCAGCAGCCCCTCTCTCTCCAGACACTAATTGGAGTCTCTCTAGCCTGCTCCAGCTAAACTCTTTTACAAAACATGGGAATTTAAGATGTTTGAGACCTCACAGCTTGCTGGCAGATCTGGTTAATACCTGATAACGTATTCCAACGCTTTTAAGACAGGCAGGAAGAGAAACACACACGTGCACAGACAACTCAGAGTGCTGTTTCCTTAGGAAATTGCACTAAGCGGTCAGAGAAGGTGTATTAGGAGCTGCTCAATGTTTTACATCTAAATACCTATGTCAAAAGCTGATTTCTAAACATATTAGATGCAATACCTGTGTTCAGTTGGGACAGTTTACACATGCCATTGCAGGAGGAGCATCCATCAGTGATGAACAGAATCTAAAAATGGTAATTATGGTAACGGCATACAAAATCACCTCATTTGCATCAGTAATCACACCGGATATCTGAGTAAACTTGTCATGTACTGTGTGCTTCATTTGCTTAAAACCTGAATTGAAGTGATTATAGAATTTGTCCATAAGGTATAGGGCCAAGATTATGGCTCAGCATCTCTTCTAAACGTGTGCTTGTGCTTCTAAGCACCTGTAGAATGAACAACCATCCCCTGTCCAAACATTCGCTGCCACAGATAAGCACAAAGAAATGTTAAATTGCAGTAAGTAACTGGAAAAAGGATTTTGTATGTTTTTATTTTTACTCCCGTGGTTCTCTGTTATCTAGTCCTGGCTCAGTGGTTACTATATCATGTCCATTCTATTTTTTCACTGAATGAGAATTTTTCCCTTGGTCCATCTGTTCACAGAGGGTGTCAGGTTCTCACACTGCTGCAGATTTCCAGCTGGAACTTAGCTGACAGGTTTGTTGATGATGCACTAGCTATGAAACAACCTGGATCACTCCTGGAGACGTTTCTGCAGCCCCAAGAGCAGTAAACTATCCCGGTGTCTCGTGTAATCCTGATTGCACAGACAGAACAAGCTGGCTGAGCATCCTCTTCAGCACTGCCCTTTACCAGCTAAATTCTGTTTCTAAATGGATTTCCAAGAGAAAAATGGGAATGATTCTGAGAGCAAACTTAGCAAGCTAAAGCTCCCTTCACCTACAGAGGTGTCCTCTTCACCAAGTAGTCTTGAGCCCGAATCCAACAGGAGAGGTGGGAGCAGGCTGAGTTCCCTGGCTGTGTATTCACAGGGAGGCATTTCAGGGACACGAACCAACAGCAGGAGCATCCGCAGAAGCCCTCTGCAGTCACCCCACTGTGGACGACAATTTCTCCCCACTGGATCCTCAGCAAATGTCCTCGGGAATCAGCCTGGTTACTGGAGTTGCAAGCTGGGGACGTGGTTTGCCTCTTGTCGCGTACATGCCATCAGCTGACAAAACTACGCTTTTTTTTTTTTTTTTTTCCATCTCAGAAAGGTCAGAAACTAACTTCAGGAAGTTTTGCACTCTTAGGGTTTCAAATTTGTAAAACAATTTCTTCCCCAATTCCCTGAAGCTCTGAGCATCACATTTCAGCCTTGGAGAGAGGTTTTACAGCTATAGAGATGGGCTGAAGCACCTGGAAATTGGGGTTTATAATGGAAATGCTTATAGGCCATTAACTACAGCAGTGCTAGAGGTCATCGTTATAATGGCTTTAAATAAAAACTGTCAGCTACAAATTATTTTTGGAGATGAGTGTGTTCTAGTGTCAAGTGTAACTGGTGAAATCAAAGGGGATACAGAACTGCGCATGCAGAATGTCTTCCAGGAGGAACAAGAGCTGCTGCAGCAAAGACAGACAAACCCATGTCTTGTTTACACGGGAAGGTGGTTGCATGGGTTCGGATCCGTAAATAAAGGTCCCTAAGGGGCAAATGCAGCTTCCCATTTTTATCTCCTTAGCACATTTTAATATGCAGCAGCAGAGCATCAGACAGGAGCTATTTCAGGCTGCTGTGTTGCTTTTTCTGGTGTATAAGGAAACACTTGTCTTGTTATTTGGATAGCGAACGCTCATCCACTTGCCACTGGGTGGTGGTTTATAGCTGACTCTTTAGTAGGTACCCTAGAGTTTACCACCACTTAACTGCAAATCTGGTTTTGCCCAGATGCTGCCAAGTTTGGGATGTAAAGTGTTGCTCCTCCTTTCAGGTCACCTGTGACCTGCCGGTGCTATGGAAGCCCAGAAGAACAAACACAAGGCATGACCCAACGCAGTGGAGTCTCGACTTCATCAAGATACATTTTTTAGGCTAGCTTTTGCCCTTGTGAAGTCATGAGCTAAAGCAGCTCTGAAACCTGTGGCTCTGTCGGTCTGGTGTCATAAATGAGCATTTCTACCTGCTCTGCTTCTGCCACCCCATCTATGGAAAGTCTTACTTCTCTGGCACAAGGGTCCCCTGTATCCTGGCGCGCAGTCGCAGGTGCCGTCCTCCGGCGAGCAGGATCCCCCGTTCTCGCAGGTACAGGAGATGGAGCAGTTGGGTCCCCAGCGGCCCTGGCTGCATATATTGTCACAGTGGATGCCTGGAGATGTAAAGGCACACGTTAGAGCTTACTCTGCTCATTGATCAAAGAAACGTTTGTCTGGACTGATACCTGACAGTACATCACAGAGCAGACGAGGGAGCCTGGGAAGGAAATTGCTATCCTTTCATCTGCTTAATCAAGTGAAAATTAAGAAATTGCCAGAGAGGTGAATTCTGTAGGTGTTAGTGGGCTCCTGTTCAGTCCTTAGCACCATTAAAGAAACTCTGCATGTCATCTCAGAGAAGGTCAGGAATTGCTTTAAAGTCCCAAAATATCTCAAACAGCTGGTCTGGAAACGTGCGGTTGATTGAAGCCTGATTACTTAACCGTTGTGAAGTGGAGGGTTCTGCAAAAACATGTCCAGGTCTGGGATTCTTGAACCCCACATCCACCCCGAGCTCCCAGTTCCGTGTTAACGAACCAAGTTCTGATCTAGCCCGTGGCCGTATGGGGGCACAGGCTGATCGTTTGCGTGTTAGATGGAGACTGAGACCTGTGATTCCTAGGGTTGTTGTTTGATATTTATTATTATCAAAAGCAAAGTTTGGAAACACTGAAAGGAGCACACGATCCAGAAAGCTTAACATGAGGCTCCCAGCATTGTTTCAACTGGTTTTGAGTGGCGACTTTTAAAAACACCCTTGTGCCACGGCTTGTCACATGTAAGTGTAATCCAAGGATTTCATCCCGCACAGCATTACTCTCACTCCACTGGGATAAGACAGTACCTGCCATGCCTGCAATTAGCAGAACTATTTGCCCAGTTGAGGGTTCCTTGGATTGCAAAAGGCTTGCAGGATCAGGAACTAAGAGAGACACGAAGCGCTGCCAGCCGCGGGGAGCGGCGTTAGCGGTAGCACGCTGCAGATACCGATAACAACAGATGAAATGAATCACAGGCTGGCTGGAGAATTTTCCTAACAGCATTACCACACCGGGTGCCTTACAACTGCACCACCAAGATTTGCTGGTATACACACGCCCCAGCTGGAATCTCAACGTGAAGATGTTCTTTATCACCCATGCACATGTCCCCGCTGCATAATGGGATAAATGCAGACGAGGGCTCCCAGAGCCCCAGCCGCAGACAGAGGTTGGATTAGCGCCTGGCTAAGGAGAAATACAATCCCAAGTAATTCCCTCCACCTCTGATAACTTCATCTGGATGCTACAGGTAATGCGACTGTATTTGCGAAGCTCTGATCTGCGTGGGCACCAAACTTTGAGGATTATTAAATCAGCTAAAAGTCATTATAAACACACTTACGGTGCAGTTTCAAGTTGGTTTTATAAATCTCTGAAGTTAATACAGTAAGAAATACTGCAGAGCCAAAATTTCCCTTTTCTGAAGATTAATCACACAATTATAATGTCCTTTCCTAGAAAATCTTCACCAAGTCTGGCAAAAGCACAGTTTGAAATGGGGTTCCTAGTAATACATGATCACAGCTGTATTTATAAAGAGGCATGGTCTGTGCTGTAGAGCTTAATAAAAACCACATTAAAATACAGTAAAAACATAATACAAGCTCAACCCCTTAATATCTAAGTAAATAAATCTGGAAAAGGGAATGCAAAAAGGGACAAGGAACATTTGTATTAGTAAAATCAAGAAAAGCCATTATTTTTAATACAGTCTTCCCTACTCCCTTTGAAATCAAATATATCCTTGGATTACTTAAAGAGTAAATGCTTTGTGTGTGCGTTCATGTCATACATCTACAATGTAATTAAAAAGTCAGACAATAAATCGTAAATAAAAAAATGCATTTCATATTTATACGTACATATATACAATCATTTATAGTTTTGAGAGCCTCAGCACGAGCTCCCAGAAATGAAATTCAGCCACAAACGCAGAAGAATGTGCGTGTTTTCCTCCTGACTGCAGCATTAAAACTACAATCCCCTCACTGTGAATGGGCTGTTTATAAATGGAGACAATTAACCAGCATTATTTCTTGTCTCTTTCGGCAAAGTTTGGGGAAGAAGGACGTGGACTCCTTTCTCTGGAAGGTAGCTGCATTAGGATGCCACGGCTGTTCTTCGCAGCAGCAAAGTCCTTCCTTTGGTAATGACTAATGAGGGATGTCTTCCCGCTCCTAACGAAGGCAATGAGTCATTGTGAAGCCGATTGTTGTAACGAAATGTAAACGGGGGGAAAGGAAACCTTCTAGAAGACACTGATAGCCATTACAGCAGTTATTTATTTATACATTTTCAGAAGACAACCAAGAAGACGCCGCAATCAATTTTTATTACTTTATATTACTCCAAGTTAATTCTCATGGAAGAGTTCATTTTTGGAGGCTCCTACACACACTGAATTGCAAATGTAAATGAGAAGTTACAATTGCATCTGGACACGCGTGTCTTACGGAATTGTGCTAAAAAAGCACCTGAATTTTACAATTCCCTAACTTGACAGCGTATGAAGGGGGAGTCCATCCCTCCCAGCTGCTTTACCGTCGCAGTCAGCGAAGCAGCAAGCTTCTTTCATGTAAAACTTTACTATTTACTTAGGAACTTGCTGATGAACATTTCTGATAAGCAATTTGTTTTCAATATCCAGAAATATAAAAAATGTTGAGGTCACACGTCTCTGTATTATCTCACGTTACAACCACAGATTCCTACGTTATGAACAAATTCCTTGTTTCACAAGCATGATGTAGAATTTAGAAAGACGACTCTCAGAAGGATAAGTCCCTGAAGCTGCAGGAGGGAGTTCTATACATAAACTCCATTGCCTGGATACCGGGAAATTATCTTCCTGCCTGAGGCTGTGGGTCACCATTGCAGACACTGGTATGGAATTACACCTCCAAGACCTTCTCAAACAATGTTCTGGGGGTGAATTGTAAATGAAATTCACAGAACTTACATAAAATTACAGTTATCCACTCTACATGGGCATAGGACATTTGCACCCTCACGCAGTAAGCCCGAGGTAAGAGCAGAGTCTGACGTGGGGTTTAATCCGGGCTGGGAAAGAGCAGCCACAAAACCTCCACGGTCTGGAGTGGATCTGGGGAACTGGATTTCTTACATATGTTGCATGGTAATAATACATCTCATATATTGTAGCCCAGTTCTGCTGCACAGTGGCTGGAGAGGTGTGAGCCTGGCGACTTGACGTGATATAAGCTTGAGTCTGGCTTACGTGGAGCTGTATAAATTTTTACGGGATGAAGTTGGTTCTTTGTATTCAAATTTACAAATCAGGCTGTGAAAGGCTCCGTGAACATCCACACAACCATCCTGAAAAGGAGCAAGAAAAAGAAAAAAAGAAAAAAAAAATCCCCTGCCATACAACTGGGATGTCAGGCATCTATTGAAGAGCTGCTTCATACACTGCTTCCGCCAATAAACTTCAACGAAAGTTGGTCAAAGTGATGCGGATTTAGCACTGCCTGCAATGACGTCCCGCTGAAGGACTTTGCAGGGTGAAAGTCCTGAAAGCCAGACATAAGTAGAATTCCCTTTTTTCTCTCTCCAGCTTACTTGTGCAATTGTGCTCATGCTTGGGGATTGCGTCTCGAGCTCTTAATAAATCCTGCCATTGTTTTCCTGCCTCGTCTCTAGGTGGCTGGAAACTAATACTCCGAACACAAGAGAAGAGCAGGAACGGATGCAATAATGAGAACCAGTGGCCTAGTTCTGACCACTGCTATCCCCTCGACAGTAGCCTCTGCAGCAGGGCCTGCATGCTGCCCAGCATCTAATTATTTTTCAGGGATGTGGGAATTTGATAAATTATGGGATGTAGCTCCCTTCCCCCCGTGTACTTTAATTTTATAGCTACTTGTGTACAACTGCAATTATTGCTCTGAATAAGATCTTCAGCTTTTTCTTTTTTTAAAAAAAAAGTCACAATCTAAAGACAGATGCAACATCAATTAGCAATGACAGGAATGATTTCAGCAGACATTTGAATCCAACACAAACATTGTGCTCTCCTCCACCTGTCTTTCAACATGACATGAAGTCATAATAATCTCTTATTTCTGGCATTTGAACAGCTTTGGAAGGAGCTGCTTTTTGTGCATAAATAGGCGCTGGGTTTATGCAGCAATCCAGTGGCCTGGAGTTTGGTGAGTCACGCTTGGCTTCGATCTGGAATGTCTGGTAGCTTTTGTCTCTGGCACTACTAATTGTTGGTGGTGGTTTGTCTACCTGGTGACGCAGGACGTGGTGACAAAACCTCAACAGCAGCACTAGCACTTCAACAGCAGAAAACAGCCTCATGATCACAGCTGCAAGGTGATTTTAGACAAGCAATTGCGGGAAGCGGACCAGCACGCACTTGATCGTACTGAAAATGGGGATGTATCACTGAATGGGATCTCTAGAAGGGACTGCTGCTTCGTGTGATACCGTCGCTCTGGTCTCCATCCCGTGGGACTGTCCCGCCTGCAGCAATCCCTTCGGCAGCTGTAGCACACCTCCCGCCAAGCCGCCAGCCCTGGAGGGGTTCCATGGGGCTGTCACGCCAGGGTCACAGCCAGAGTCCCCTGAGGTCATCTGGACAGCTTGCCCTGGCCTCCTAACTCATACATTTATTTCTGGTAATGATTTCTATAATCATACATTCACGTTTTCTTTAACCTTATTCTCTTCTCTCTCCTCAGTACTCTTGTTGCCGGTATGCTTATGTTTTCCCTATAAATCCCATTTAAATCAGCTCTGTATTTGAGATTAGATCAACATACTTTCCTAAACAGTGAATATTTTGCTGCTTCAGTCTGTAGAAGGTAAAGGAAAATTCAAGAAGAACGTAAGAAAGAACTGTCCGATTAGCTCCGGGGATCAGCCGCTCAGAAGGTGCTATGACAGCATGAGAACGAGGGTTCACAAAGAATACTTGATGCTTTTCTATCACTTTTTGCATCTTCATATTTATTCCTACCTGAGGCAAACCCTGAAGTATTTTGACTCAGATCCAGCCAGAGACACCACTGCACAATTCATGACAGCTCAGCATTTAAGGATGCTGA